CCCTCTCCCAGATGCCCGGTGCTCACCCACTGCCAGGGTCTCCCTGGTTCCCGTTCCAGAGCCTCTACAGCAGCCACAGCCTGCTCTCCGCTCTCCGGCTCCTGGGCACGCACCCAGCTCTGGATCTCCCATGGCAGGATGGCCAGGAATTGCTCCAGCACCAGTAGCTCCAGGATCTGCTCCTTCGTGTGCCTTTCAAGCCGCAGCCAGCCCCGGCATAGCTCCCAGAGGCGCTGCAGGGCCTCCCGCGGGCCTGCGGCCTCCTGGTAGCGGAACCGGCGGAAGAGGCGTCGGGAGGACTCTGGGCTGGGAGGCTCACCCTGAGGGCTGGGGTTCTCTCCAGGAGGACTCCGCATTTTCCTGGGCTCCTCACTTTCCTTTGGAGCCAAGACTCGTGGGCACAGGGCTGTGGGCATGATGGGATTTGATGGGGGTCAGCGGCAGAAGACGACCCTATTTCCAAACAGAAATCGCTGGCTTCAATGCTCTGGTCTTCTGTGGTTGTTTCTGGGGGGTGGTAGACAGAGCCCACGGGAGACCAGCCCTTTGAGGAATCCCTGGGAAATGTATGAAATGTTGGTGTGGCTGGTCCTTACACATGGGGACAGAAAGAAAGATGGCCCTTCCCACCAGCATCATTCCATGTAGATTCCCCTACTTGGTGGCAATGGAGACAGGAAATCTGGGGAGAAAAGTGGTGGCATTTCAACAGGACACTGGCATTTCCAGCATCCCAGGAGTAAACAAGGCCACATGCAGACATGTGAAACCAGGACTTGTGATACCTTTGTGGACAGGTCCTCTTGGAGGATAGCCCCAGCAGGCTGCAATCTTGAAGCTCTGAAGCCAAAGTCACTGTCTCTGTTCTTGAGATCTTCACAAATTGATCTGAAAGGAAAAAAAACAAAAAAAAGCGAAGGATGAGTCGTCCAAGACCATCGAGGGGGCACTGCCACTCTGCCAAGGACAGATGGATGGACAGGGGCCCAACAGAGCCTGCACTCTGTGTGTCGGTGGGGGCAAAAACTTCCAGGCAGAGGAGGAACTCAGAGACAGCCGCAGAAGTTTACCAGAGAGAAAGAACACTGTATTTAAAAAGCCCGTCCCTAGGCCTAGGGGTGCAGCTCAGTGGCAGAGATGCAAGGTCCTAGGTTAGTGCACCAGAACTGCTTCCCTTCCCCAAACATCAGTGCTTTACCACAAGCCTTACACCAAACTGAGTCCAACGGGGCACTATCATCTTTCTCCTGTATTTAAAGGCCATTTGTGTCTGGGGGCTGGAGAGACAACTTAGTGGTTAAGAGCGCACACTACTTTTCCCATCATCTACCTCAGTCAAGCTGTTCACAAAGCCCTTTAATTCCACCAACTCCAGGGTCTCTACCACCTTCTTCTGACCTCCATGGGCACTGCACTCAAGTGCATATACCTGTACACAGATGTCTACTCAGGTGCACACATAATTTGAAAAATAAAATCTTAAAAATAAAAAGATAAAAATTCTAAAAAGTTACTTGTTAGGCTTGTGTGTGTGTGTGTGTGTGTGTGTGTGTGTGTGTGTGTAAAACAATGTAACAGCTAGAGAAAAAGAGGCCAAGATTTTGAGGGGGAGGGGACATGGGATGGGCTGGAGGAAAGGGAAGGAGAAAATGATGTAATTACACTTTAGTATCAAAAATGTGATTAAAAAAAAGAAAGAAAGAAACTACTTGAATCTCATGGGTTCCTATCCCTTGCTCTTTCCAAATCATGCTCACGGCAGTGGTACACATTGATTTCACAGACCTTCCTGGTCGTGAGGGAAGGTCTCTCGTGACCTTCTGCTCTCTGGAACTCTTGGTGCCACAGATTGGCTCCACACGTGGTGGAGCTCGGGTTCTCTATCCCCCCCTGGACATCACGTACAAAACAGAGCAAACACACCAGGGACGACACAGCAAAGCATGGTCACTGCACTTGACCCGTGTTCTCTGACCCACACTTCCGAACACGAGGAGAAAAGTCAAACGGAGACACACAGGGTTCTGCTCTCAGGACTCTGGGAACCCCAGGCAGGGCCGCTGGCCCTTCACACCCTCACCTGGAAGAGATTCCTAGCAGGGCAGCGGCACTCTGCAGGAAGACAAGCGATACCAGAAAAGCCACCAAGCAACCGAACACCACCTGGAACCCCAAGTTTCCTGTATTCCTTTGATTTCCGAAGTAAAGACAAACAGACAGCCGGAGCGAAACTCTGAAAGCAACAGGCTGTGAACCGCGACTACTCTCACATCGCTCTCCGGTAGTAAGAACCCAATCTGGGCCCCGCCCGCTCTCTTCCCAGCTTCCTCCGCCCACTATCTCCCACCTGCTGGGCCCTGAATGGCTCAGGCCTAACCCCATGGTGGGGTACCCAGTGTCCCACCCTCAGCACTCAGCTCCGCTGTGGGACTGCCCTGAGAGCCCCTAGGCCAGACAGGCGTCTGCCTCTTTGTCACCCTGGCACCTGGCGCGCAGGAGCCTCGGGAGCGGAAGCTTTATGAATGAACTACCGTTAGTGAGGGGAGGGCTCCCCCGGGGGCGGGGCTTGCCCAAAGCAGTTACTGAAGGAGCAGGATCGGAGGGAAGGAATGAGAAGGGTGTTCTAGGCCAGGAGAACTATGGGGTTTCCGTCGCTTACACTCTTCCAGGTTTGCTGGCTCTTCACCTCGAAGCCCGGGGCTGCAGGGCAGCAGGTTCTCACCTTCCAGCCCGGTCTCCCTGGTGTCTCCCCCGAGGCGGCTCCTCGGCATGGGCCAGATTCCGTTCCTGGCCAGGCCAACCCCTGTCTCGGGATCATCTAGAGAGCATCAGCTGGGCTTGGGAGCGAAGGGAGACGCCTGAAACATAACCGTATTGCTTCATCCCCGAGGGCACCGATGAGGACGCAGCGCTGGGAGCAAGGATCAGGGCCGGGGCGCGGGAAGTGGAGAACAGGGAACAGGACCCAGGCGCAGGGCTGGGGATCGGAGCGCGGGAAGTGGGGAGCAGGATCCGGGTTCAGGCAGCAGGACATGGGGAACAGACCACGGTATACTCACCGCTGAGCAGCGTCCCGGTTGGCGGGCCGCGCAGGCCGGGCCGCCGCGGAAAGGAAAGGCCGGAGCCCTCCGGCTCCCTCCCCTGGGACACTTCCTGCACCGCTCTAGGACCGAGGAGGTCTCCTCATCTCAGTGGTTCGCTTCCCCGCCTCCCGGCCGAGGTGTACGCGGGGGGTGACATCCGACACCCCCGGCCCGCGCGGCCCGCCCCGCCCCGCTCTGTGCTCGCCCGGCCTGGGCGCGGGGCCCGGGCTTTGGCTTTGTGGGCCTCCGCAGCTCGTTAGGGATGCGCGCGTCCCGACGGGACCCGGGCGCTGGGGGCCAGTTCGCGCGGCCACTAGCCAGGGAGGCCGGCCTGGGGCGCCGCTCTTCCCTGCTCCTCTCTTGTGGGCGCAGGGAAGGGCCGGTCTGGCGGCGCTGGCGGAATGCCAGAATTGGGAGGAGGAGAGATGAGGTGTTGGGGGATTGCTCTGTGGCCACCCGCATCCAGTCTGTGCCGGTGTGGCCCAACCCCTTGCAGCCAAAATTCCATTTCAAAGCCAGCGCTTCCAGAGCCACCCAGGCCAGCAAGGCTGGATGGAGAAAGGCAGACCCGACGATCCACTAGGCACGCCGAAGCATCGGCCAGCGCCTTCGTGGCGCGGAAATCATCCGCTGTGTCTCTGTTTAAGGAAGGCTGTAGCGTTCTGTGAGCACTAGGACGGTCCTGGTGAGTACGGAGAGAGAAGGCTGCCAATCCTGAGAGTGAGAGGCAGGGAGCTTGTTGCTGCTGGCTTAGTTTAAAGAGGTTGATACATTGCAGAGAGGCAGGACAGACTTTGACTTCATCACGGAGAGTGAGAAGCAACCAAGAACTAGGGTGTCTGAACCAATTCCTGCTGTATCTGTCCTGTGCTGAATAGAGTCCAAATCCCCCACATCTGTTCTCCGGGGCTGGACAATGGAACCAGCCTGTCAAAGGGAAGAGGCAAAGGAAGTTCTGCCCAGAAGTAAGCGACTGTGCTGATTTTCTAACGATCCTCTTTCAAGGGTACATGAAGGAAGTCGGTTCCCTTAAAGAAGGTAGCTTTGATGGAGGCAACCCGTCACTGGCAGACTGTTTTTGTCTTGTGGGTCTGTGTACTTCCATTTCCTTTAATAACTGGGATAACCACTTCCGACTAGTAGGTATCGAGTCAAACGTCGAGATTTTGTGACATTAGGAGATGAACCAAGCGGGTGAGTGAATGGCTTGTTCAAGTGCAGCAAATCCGAGCCAGGGTCACCCAGGGCTGGGACTTGAGACTTGTAGATAGCAGTAGGAGCCACCTTCAGCTTGTCTAGATTTACAGTTCATGCCAGTCCCTTCTCAGGAATGTCAGCCAGGAGGCACAGCCTAGACTCTAGGTCCTAAAGCAGTCAGAGACCCCCAAGGGTGGCTGCTGGCTACTGGCTGCTGGGGTTCCTGCGCTTCCTTATTGCACCCCTCAAGCAGGTAAAATGCAGGGCCAAGAGATGGCTGGTACACTTCATGTGGCTTTTTTCCCCCACACCCCTCCCCTTCAGTTTCTTCTCTTGGTCTTACACCTGTCAGCATTCAGGTCCTGTCTCCCTGTTTGGTAACTGCCTCGGGCTCTAACTATGCCTTCCTTTTGTGTTTCTTCTGCACTGAGCCCGGCCTGTGGTCTGGGAGTCAGAACACCTGTGTTAAATCATGCCCATCAAGGCCCCATCTGGTGATCTCAGGCCTGCGTCACCTTTCTGTGCTTCAGGTGCCTCACATAGAAGGCAGGTGATGCTGTCTGCTTCATTTTGTGGTCATTCAGGAAATGTGTACTGAGCGTCTACAAGGCATCTGCAGTTTGAAGCTCCCATCCAGATCCCTGGGCACATCTGGACACACCACCGGCCATCGGGAGAGTGAATGATGAGCAAAGCCAGGTGCTGGTTTGCAGAGCCACAAGAAGAATCCAGAGCAGAGCGGCAGCCTCAAGACAGGAGTGCTGAGCAGGGCCTAAGAGTTGTTACCTCACTGGATTGAAGATAGGGTGGATCAGACATCCCTGCAAAGGTGATCTCTGAAATGAAGCTGAGGTGTTGGGGCTCTGGGACGGCACAGGAGGGCATTGTGCTCTATGACAAGCAGGGTTCTGTGAGGAGTTCTGGGTGAAGTACCCGAGGGCACTCTGCCTGTGAACCCTGCTCTGTTGTCACTGGTACATGCTGTGCCAACGATCCCCCATCTCTGTTACCACTAGTCAGTCAGGGTGCCAGCTTCGAAGTGAGGGGGACTTTTATTCTTGCCAAGAATGAGAGAGAAGTAGACTCAAAAATCAACTTCTCAGCCCTTGGGTGTGGGGATGTTGTAGCTGTGTGATAAATGAGGGGAGCTGAGTGTCAGAGTGCATGCCTTTAATCCTACCACTTGGGAGGCCGAGGCAGGAAGATGGAGAGCTGGAGGCCAGCCTGCACTGCGTTACACATCTGGTAGCAGGGCCAGACTAGACTACAAGACCAGACTCTATCTCAAGGGGGGAGAGTGAAGTTGGGGGGAGGGGTCAACTAATAAAATAGGAATGTTAATTTTTTTCTGGGGTTTCTGGAAAATTTCCAGGAATCTGGGTGTCTGGTTTCATTCCTTTTGTGATTCTTGACAATTATTAACCGCCAGGAGATAGGAGGTATTGTTTATCTTGCAGATGGGATTATAATGAAGGTAGAGCTTCATTGTGTCCTAAGATAGCTGAGACCTGGCCAGTTTCTGCTGGCCCACCAGAAGAGGGACTTTGGCCTTTAGACACCCAGCTCTCTGAGAGGGTTGGGAAGAGGTAGGAGTTTAGGTAGGCCACTGAAGCAGGACACGAAGAAAACCCGAACTTCAAGAAGCTGGAAGGGCAACGAAATAATAGATGATGTCAGGACTGGGGCTGTAGCGCAGCTGCATGCAGAAGGCACTGGTGCAGCCTCCAGAACCGAATAAATGGACAGGATGATGCACACCTATAATCCCAGCACATAGGAATAGAGACAGGAAGATCAAAATTCAGTCCTCAGCTACATAGCTAATTTGAGGAGTGAGGCCCTGTCTTAAAAGACACGGTATGCAGGGCTCACAGGGGCTCATAGAGACTAAACCCACAATCGGGGAGCCTGCATGGGTCTGACCTTGGTCCTCTTCATATATGTTATGGTTGTGTAGCTTGGTGCTCTTGGGGGTCTCCTAACAATGGGAGCAGGGGCTGTTTCTGACTCTTTGCCTGCTTTTGAGACCCCTTTCCTCCAATGGGTTGCCTTGCCCAGCCTTGACATGAGGGGATGTGCCTGGTCTTACTGCAACTTGATATGCATGTTTGGTTAATGTCCCTGGAGGCCTGCTCTTTTCTGAAGGGAGAAGGAGGAGTGGATCGGAGGGAGTGGGGGTGAGGGGAGGAGGGGCTGGAAGAAGAGGAGGAAGGGGAAACTGGTCAGGATGTGATATATAAGAGACAAATAGCCGGGCGGTGGTGACGCACGCCTTTAATGCCAGCACTCGGGAGGCAGAGCCAGGCGGATCTCTGTGAGTTCAAGGCCAGCCTGGGCTACAGAGTGAGTTCCAGTACAGGCTCCAAAGCTACAAAAAAAAAAAAAAAGACAAATTAAAAAAAAATGTTATGACCAAAGGTACTCATGATCCTATAAGCAACCCTAATAAAACTTACTGGGACACACACACACACACACACACACACACACACACACACACACACACACGAATGAATGAAAGTAGAAGGAAGTTGAAAAAAATAAGGGAATCAGTGAGAGGGGGCAAAAGAGAGTGACAGGCGGATACAATCAAAATACTTTAGAGACGTATAGAAAATGACAATGAAATCCTTTTTTATAACTAACATATGTTTTTAAAAAGTATTCAAATGCCAGTAAGATAATGTCAGAAAGTGATAGATGCCTTAATGAAAAAAAAAATAGGAAAAAGGCGAAGAAGATGGAGTTTGCTTGCTCAGACAGACTGAACAATGCTAGGCCAAACTCAATAGCAGGTTGTCCCCACACCCTAAACATACTAATTACATACATTAAGGGCTGGACAGTGTTGCACATCTGTAACCCTATACTCGAGGCTGAAGCAGGAAGAACAGACTTTAAGGATAGCCTGGGACATCAGTGGAAGAGGGACTGAGAATGTAGTTCAACTTGGTACAGTGTTTGTCAGTATGCACCAAGCCCTAGATTAAATCCTTGGCATGGCATAAAACCAAGAATGGTATTACATGACTGTAATCTAGGCACTTGGGAGCTGGGGCCAGGAGGACCAGGCGTTCAAGGTCATCTCCTATATAGTGAGTTTGGGATCAGCTTGAATTAGATATCCTATCTGAAAAATACAAATTGATGAGCTGCGGAGTGCCATTTTCACGTATACATACCTTGAGTAATCTATATACCTGCCCTCTGCACAGCCTTCCTGGTCTTCAGGAAGCTCTAGTTTTCTTTTAGGTTGACTTATTTATTTATCATTGTTTTCAGACAGTCTTACTGTGTAGCCCTGACTGGCCTAGAACTCACAGATCTGCTTGCTTCTGCCTCCTGAGCGCTGTGATCAAAAGCACGTGCCACCGCACCTGGCTCTTAACTTAAAAAAGTTTGATTGTGCCAGGCGCTGGTGGCGCACGCCTTTAATCCCAGCACTTGGGAGACAGAGGCAGGCGGATCTCTGAGTTCGAGGCCAGCCTGGGCTACCAAGTGAGTCCCAGGAAAGGCGCAAAGCTACAGAGAAACCCTGCCTCGAAAAACCAAAAAAAAAAAAAAAAAAAAGAAGTTTGATTGCATTTATTTATTTTTGCAGTGTGGGCAGATGTGCGTGCCAAGGCACACTCTGGAGGTCAGTGGACAACTTGCAGGGATCAAATCTTTCCTTCCATTTGGTGGGTCCTGGGGACCAAACTCAGGTCACCGCCAGCCTTCCTAGTTAGTACCTTTACCCACTGACCCATCTCAGCAGGTCAGTTTATTCTTTCTTTTCTTTTTCTTTTTTTTTTTTTTAACCTTTCATGTATGGGAGAGAAGGGAGGGACCATACAGCGTGTCTTTTTCTTTCTATGCTACCATTTGATGTCTTCCTGTTCTATCCATTTGGCTGTAAGTAACAGAATTACCATCTTTATGCCTGAATAAAACTCCATTTGTATATTGACCCTATTTTCTTTATACGTTCAGCTGCAGCTGGCTCGTGAACTGATTCCATATCTTAGTAAACATGAAAGAAGGGAAATGGCTACTCTGTGTCTCAGATGCTGTCTGATGACATTCTTAGCTTTGGGGCAGTTGGAAGTGAGCGGCCTGTTAATACATCCCAAAAGATTCATGTGGATGCTAGATCAGCATTCATAGGATTCATAGGATGCTAGATCAGATACTGAGGTGGCTAATGAATAGCTATTAAGGGGCCTAAAGATAGCCCAAGATAATTTGGCTTTGAATCTGTAACAATACAACTCTCCACAGTCAGGGAAGTTTTAAATCAGTTGATCAGCATTACAGAATCTTCAAAACAGATGTGCCCCCCCCACCCCCGCCATCCCTCCATCCCCAAACTTCTGTTGTACTCTGAGAGGTCAGGGAGGTAAGAGGTTGCTGATGGCTCATTGTTGGGGTCACAGAGGTCCTTGTACTCAAAAAGAAGCACCAAGAGAACCAGGAATGTTAATATCTGAGGTGTGACTCCTCAATGGAGGAGATACAAATCAAATTCTTGCATTCCATCCAGAAAGCTGAGAGTGCATTTTATGAATGACCTGGTGACCTTTTGGCTATCTGTGGAGGCAGCCCTCACCCAAATTCTCCAGATGATTATCCCAGACTCTTCCCTTCCTAGACCATTACCCATCCTTAGCGGAGATGTCACACGTACTTTATGGCCTGCTGACCTCTATGCTACTGGTCAGAGACCACACTAGATGCTAGACCTTTTAGCTGCAGAACTCATTGTCATGGTTACATGTCCTGCGTAAGAGTCTCTATGTACTCACACCTTAAGCTTTATTGTGTACTTGGAACTGGACTAACTGTTGCCTGGAAACCTTTTCCCAAATTGTACTGTGCTTTAAATATGCTGACAATGAACAGACTGGCATTAGACTCCCTGAGTCTGATCCAGGTTGACAAAGTCATTCTGCACTGGGTATTCATTCTCATCTCTTCTGCGTAGTTTGTTTCCCTGCCTGACACCTGCAGGGACCCCTTCAGTTGTGGGGAGGGATTCCAGACAATGGACCCCATCATAGAGATCCAAACAGGTAACTTAACCAGATGGGTAAGGGTGAAAAGGACCTGGGTTGTGGGGCCTTGCTTCATAGGCTAGGGTACAGCCCACTAGCAAAAGGTGTGATGACCATTACTTGGAGTGTTTCCTTGTGACTATGTGAGTTTGTCACTGGCCGTAGGGACAGAGGCACAGTTCTATTCTATCCCTGCTACAGTCCGAAGGGTTCTCTTTCACCTTAGTGACCTGTGGTGGTATTGTGTTCCCCAAAATATTGTGTACCTTAATAAACTTATCTGGGGTCAGAGAACAGAAAAGCCACAAGATACTTAGGCTAGCAAATGTTAGCACACGCCTTTAATCCTAGCATTCCAGAGACAGAAATCCATCTGGATCTCTGTGAGTTCAAGGCGGCATTGGAAACAGCCAGGCATGGTGACTCACGCCTTTAATCCCAGAAAGCAGCCTTTAATCCCAGGGAGTGGTGGTAGAAAGCAGAAAGGTTTATAAGGTGTGAGGACCAGAAACTAAAGGCATTTGCCTGGTTAAGCATTTGGCTGGTTAAGCATTCAGGATTTCGAGCAGCAGTTCAGCTGAGAGCCATTGGGATGAGGACACAGAAGCTTCCAGTCTGAGGAAACAAGACCAGCTGAGAAGTTGGCCAGGTGAGGTTAGCTGTAGCTTGTTCTGTCTCTCTGATCTACCAGCATTGACCCCAATAACTGGCCTCGGGTTTGATTATATTAATAAGACTCTTTAAGATTCATGCTACAGTGACCTTTACTCATGTCAAATGGGTTAGTGGCTTCAATGAAGAGACGTTTTAAATGTAGATTTATTTATTTTTATTATGTGTATTAGTGTTTTACCTGAATGTATTTCTGTGTATCAAGTGCATGCTTGCCTGCATGTTATCATGTGCATGCAGTGTCTATGGAGGTCACAAGAGGGTGTCAGATTCTGAGAGTAGAGTTACTGAGAGCTGAGTTGCCATGTGGGTACTTAGGATTTAATTTGGGTCCTCTGGAAGAGCAGCTAATGCTCTTAACCACTGGGATGTCTCTCCAGTTGACCTCCCCCTTTTGAGACAGGGTCTCACTATGTAGCTCTGGCTGGCCTGGAACTTACTATGTAGACCAAGCTGATCCAACTGCCTCTGCCTCCTAAGTTCTGGTACTAAAGGTGTGTGCCACCACACCTGGCTTAGTATAGATTTTTTTTTTCAGTTTCTCGAGACACGGTTTCTCTGTGTAAACACCGTGGCTATCTTGGAACTTGCTCATGTAGACCAGGTTGGCCTTGAACTCATGGAGATCCGCCTGCCTCTTCCTCCTGAGAGCTAGAATTAAAGACGCGTGCCACCACTGCCCCATTTTTTAATATAGACCTTAATCACAGGGATTATAAGAAAGAAAGATACTGAAAAGTGAGGAAGGAGAGACCCCCAATAGTATGAGTGTGGGCTTCTCTTGGAGAATGGAAATTAGATTTCTTTACAATGAGTATAAGATTTTGGTGGCTCTCAACATCTCTATAGGTTGCTAAGGACCTCCCTCCCCTTTTTGAAAACAAAACAAAACAAAAAACATTGCTCAGGGTTATAATTTACAAAAAGGTTAAAATTTAAAGAATTTTCTTCTGTAAAAACAAAGCTCCAGGGGCTGGAAAGATGGCTCAGTGGTTAAGAGCATGCACTACTCTTCCAGAGGATCAGAGTTCAATTCCTAGAACCCACATCTATACCTGATGTTCTACCACCTATAACTCCAGTTCTAGGAGATCCAACTCCTCTGGCCTCCATGGGCACCTGCACATACATGCACATACCCACACAACACATGCCCATAATTAAAAATAATAAAATTAAAAAAAAAACAAAGCTGGAGAGATGATTTATGAGGGATTTCTAGAATTAAGAAAAGAGTTGATGCTGGTACTTGAAGGTTAAATATCATTTTGGTCCTGAGTAAGCAGTTTACTGTCTTTTTTGTTTTTTAAGATTTACTTACCAACTTAAAAAGCCCTCTCTTGAAAAGCATACACCATTTCTGGAAGTAGTTTTGGCCTTATCAGTGGTTCCCAAAGTTTCCTGACAGGCAGCAAGCAATCCAGACCTTTTTCACACTTTTCCTTCACATACCCCCATCATTTTTAATCCTGGCCTGCCTCAGGTTGAGGTAGAAGTAGCCTTATCTCCCCATTCCAGTGCAGATGGAGTGCTCACAGCTTGCCTCAGGAAGTTAGGGCGATTTAAGAAAGTTATAAAGCGGAAGTGGGGTCCCCTCTGCCCTGTTTGCTGTTCACAGATTGGCGTGAGAAAAGTGGAGCTGGCTGGAGGTGAGTGTCACTGGCCGTCCCCGTTAGTAGCTGGGGGTGTCAGGCAGGCCAGGGAACCCTTGATGAGGATGTAAGATTCATTCCCAGAGTGGCTGCTTTTAACACTGCACAGCTGATAGATACCGAGTCTGCCCCCAGACCCCAGCAAACAGTTCTCTCTCCATCCTTCCTGGTTTCCTCCTTGATAGTTTTGAATGAGTCTCTGCAGAGGAAGAAATCTCGATCTTTGCAGTCCTTCGTAAGTGTCAGGGAATGGGAATTGCCCCTTATTTCCTTAAATGAGCTGAATTCTCCAATCTGGAATTTCTGGAAGGGAACTGAGGCTTAGAGAGATATTGGGGTATGCTTCTGGGGCTGGGCTAAAAGTATAGCTGTGGGGGAGTGAGCCTAGTATGTGTGAGGTTGAGTTAAGCAGATATCCCGTGTGTGTGTGTGTGTGTGTGTGTGTGTGTGTGTGTGTGTGTGTGTGTGAGTGTGTGTGATGTGAGATGTGATGTAGGGGTGTATGTGGAGATTCAACTCACTTAAGGAAATACGGAGCAACTCACATCCTGGACACTTAGGAAGGCCTGCAATGATCGGGATTTCTTCTGTAGAGACCCAATCAAGGAGGGAAAGTGTGGAACCGAGGAAGAACTGAAGGAAGAACCCCATTTGCTGCTGATCTGGGGCACACAGAGGGCATCCACTGTGCAGTATTACAGCAGCCACTCTGGGAATGAGTTGCTTCCTCATGAAGGGTTCCCTGGCCTGCCTGAGAACAACATACACTATATATATATATATATATATATATATATATATATATATATATATATATATATAAGAGTGAGCAAGGCAGGAGGAGATGTTGGAGTGGTGAACTCCCTCCAAGTAGGGAGGAAGCTTCCGTCCTTGGATTGCTATCTGGACTATAGGGGCGCTGCAGGCAGAGTGCACACACTGGGAAGGGGCCTGCAGGCTGCCTGGGACTGGCTGTGTATTGAGAATGACCTTGAACTGACAGCAATTGTTCTGTCTCTGTTTCCCAAATGTTGACTACTTTTCACTGTTGTTTTTTAATTTGCTGCTTCTATTAGCAGACAATTAACACTGATAAATTACCCACCATCAAGCTTCCTAGTTGAGTTGAAATGGGCTACGATAGGTTCAGGACCACATTATCTGGAGGAATTTCGGGGACCAAAATACTTGGTCACGACTCCCAGTTTTATGTCTCCTGCTTTTTTGGTGGCAGTGGGTGAAGAAGAAAATGAAAACAGCAAACTAATGTTAGAGGATTTGCCAATAAACTTGCTCAGAAAATGTTGTTACACACAAGTAAAATTCAGCTGAACGAGCATTGTCTCAGATGGAAGGAACTGTAAGGCAAGAAGCACCTGACCAGACTTCTTAGAAATTGTAAAAAATAAGGAAACTAGAGATGTGCTTCTAACAGAATTAGAATTCCGATCCACCAAGGATATGTTCCTTTTGGAATTTGCTCACCAGGGCTGCCTGGTCATTCAGCCCTATTCCTCTTACAGGAAGAACCCAAGTCAGCCAGGCCGTTCAAAGACAATGACCCTGACTAACAGCTGCCTAGAAGAGCATCTCTGGTCCGTCTCAAAGATGGCTGTGATAGGATCTCTGCATGTAAATCTTCCCATTTGCCCAAGTAATGACCCAAACTTGCAGTGGGAACCTTTGAAGCCATCTGTAGGTAAAAGCATGTGTCAGACTACAATGTTATAGCTCAAATCTATATAAACAATGGAAGATTTCTGTTTGGGGAGAAGCCTCCTTGAGCAACAGGTAGGTTTATCTCTGGGTGCTTGGAGTGACTTTTTTTTTTTTTTTTTTTTGGTTTTTCGAGACAGGGTTTCTCTGTGTAGCTTTGGAGCCTGTCCTGGAACTCACTCTGTAGCCCAGGCTGGCCTCGAACTCTCAGAGATCCGCCTGCCTCTGCCTCCCGAGTGCTGGGATTAAAGGCATGTGCCACCACCGCCCGGCTTGGAGTGACTTCTTGCTGGGAGAAATTAATCCATCATTTCACAGGGAGGAAGGCTAGACCACTGGACTGCTCACTCTCCTCCCAGGCACCCATGGGACCCTTGGCTTGGTGCTGAAAGCATCATTTGCTGTTCCATCTGCACAGCTGGAGTGGCTCTGCTGGTCCTCTGGGCTTTGTAAGCATCTGGGGGACTGAGAAGGGCAGACTCGTGGGAAGACAGACATAGAATACGCCTGCCTTTTATCTCCACACCTTCCTGCTGGTCAGTGACAAAGGCAGGCAGATGCAGACGGCGTACCGATGTCCTCAAGACAAACTGGCTATCGGTTTCAGTCTTGATGAAAAGATGAGATTTCTTTGAACAGTGTCCATCCTGACTAGTGCACTCCGGGACACCGAGCCACTTCAGCACCGGCAGATGTCATTCCTTCCTTCCTTGTGACACTAACTGATGTCAGTATAGCTCCACGGTCCCTCTGAGCCTCCTCAACTCCACCAGAATTTTTCCTAGCAATTATCTGATTGGCGTCAGATTTTCTTGACATGGTCATTAGGAAGGGATTTCCCTGTTGTCCTCTTATTGTGACAACTGGCCCAAGCCACTGATGTCTGTAGGTTACCAGTACTACCAAGGTATTGGGGACTATGGGGGGTCCAGCCCCTCGATAGTCCCCTCCCAGGGTCCGGGAAGAATCTACAACCAGTTGATAATTAATCTTTGATGAAAAGAAATGAATCTATGTACACGAAACTCCTTAGTCCATACACTTTATTCTTCTGAGTCAGTTCTCTCTCTACACAGCTTCTATTCTGCTCTCATGTCTAGTTCCTTTCTTGTCTGATTTTTCTATATTTATCTACTGTTCCCTCTAGGTTCTATCTTAATTCTCTCATCTTAATTCTGCCTCATCTAGGTCCTTTTCATCTCGTTCTTACCCAGCTAGTACTTCCCCATCTGACTTTTCCTCATCTTCCATCTCGTCCACGTGTACTCTCCTTATCCCTCTCCATTCTCCGTCTCTCCCTCCTCCACATACCTAACCTAAGTCTTCCAGGAATCCAGTTATAAACCTGAAGAACCAAAGCACCCCCATTTCAAGCAAGCCCCTCACTCCAGCTTGAAACAGGCCTGAGTTTTGAAATTCTCAGAGCTGCTGACACAGGTCCCAGGACAAAGTCAGGATGTTTGAAGGACTATCTGGTAGCAATTGATTAACCACAGAATGCCCCAATGCCTGAGATAGTCTATAAAGTTTAACAAACAACCAATTAAAACTACAAAGTAAGATAACACAAAAATCCTGAAAAGCCCCTAAAACTTGAGCCAATCAGAATTGTACCCGTACTTGTACCCCTAAATGATATAACCTTATGGTTTTTGCCTTTAAAAACTGAGCTTGCAGAGGGGCGGGCACCTCCTCCAGCCTCCGCTGTGTCCGGGTACCCGACCGAGGTCCCTGCAGTGGCTTGAATTGAAATAAACCTTGCTTTTGCATTTCGGT